ACCCCGCCCCCACACCGAAGGGGGCGAGGCCATGCTGTGCTGCTTTAGAGAAGAGGAAGAGAAAACTAGAGGTGCACGTATGCACGTAATCCAACTAGAGACCTGCACTATCGCGGGACCTAACGCAGCAGCGCGACAACACTTGACGGGCGAGTGCGGGTGGGTAGAAACTCGTGTGCGGGATGCAGGAGAATAAGGGTGTATCACACTAGGCGTTTTGAACCGTGCCCGAGCGTGTCTGATCCCCAAAGCCCGGTTCGTTTGAGTAGTGTGATCGCTCCGTGCCACGGTTCATTTAGCCAGCTCTGGCTTGGTTGGAAGAGGAGGGCCAGAGCGCGGTTCACTTGGGCTCAGGCGCAGTATGCATGTAGTGTGAGCGGAGCGCGGAACTTCTGATACGTGCAGCATGATTGTGTGAACATTTCTGAGCGGCAAAAGTGATAGATCTGTAAACCAATATGTTGTGAGAGGGCCGTGTGTGTTACCGTGTTCCAAATGACTCAAAATAATAAACCACAAAGTTAACAAAACGATGCACTCCACTGTGCTGAGCGAGAGCGCTTCTCTGCTGCCTTCACGTGCTATAGGAAACTTCCCAGTTCCCACCTGTTAACTTGCCTAGCCCTAATACTGAGACATTCTTAAAGCTGCAGTACATACGTTTTGCCTCTTTGTTGCCATCTGTTTGAAAACCTGGAATTGCAGCTGTGCGCGGAATTATCTTCCTTGCGTGGGTTGTGCGGCGGCACGGCTCCAGCGCGGATGAATGTAATGTTTTGAGGAGTATGTGTGGCAGTCAGTCACCGCACCGGTGTGGATATTGTACTTTGCACTCACAGATTCTAGCCTATGTCTTAGAATATAAGACTCAAATAAGCATTTTCACTGGATATTGTCATCTGAACAAGTAACAAGTCTGCCACGTTTGTTCTGACCAACTGAGGAAAAAAGCATTACAATAAATTGTGCTACCAATGGTGATTTAATCTAAATTAAATTTAATCTCATATCACATCAAACCATGCAAATTATTATTATTGTTATACTTTATTCTCAAATTGTTAAGGTTAACAACATCAGCATTGCGTGACTATGAGTAAAGTGTGTATAAGCAAGTAGATTTCAATTTCTGTACAGTCTAATCTCGTCATACCACTCGAATTTCCTATTAAGAAATTCTTTTAACCCAAAAAGCAAATTATGCTCCCTTAGAACTGGTTGTCTTTAAAATACAAATCTTGTGTAATCCCAGGCTATCTGTGATCAGAAGCACATTTAAAACTTAATTTCATTTCATTCATATGTGTTTCATAAACACAATCCTTTCTGAATTACAATACGCCATCAAAATGATACATTTAATTATTCCAGCTGCTGTGAGAAAAGGCTATAAATGATCGGCCACCTGCAGGATCCTCAAATGTGATAGCCTAGTAGCCGGAGCAACTTCTTTATGTTTACAGAAGTGAAGTTATGAAGCAGCTGCATGCTCGAATTTCCCACGAAAACCTACCCGTACCACTCAAATTAGAAAACATTATTATAAGCTGACCGTTGTGAATCGGGCTAAAGTAAGGCAATAGTTTCGAACACTGGCTGGTTATGTACTTGCTCAAATATTGATTTCGGATCATTTTTAACCAAAAAAAAAGTTACGGACTGCAGCTTTTTAATTTTTTTTAAATTTAATAAATTTTTATATTTTAAGTAAGTCATGCAGGTTTGGAACATCATGAAGGTGAGTAAATGAAGCAATAACTTTCATTTTTGGGTGAACTATCCCTTTAAGGATGAAAAACGAGCAGTTCTATATGATGGTTCACTTACTGTCCAGTATGTTCTAGTTCTCCGTACAGCCATCCATCCCGCTCCTCTTGGATAAGCAGTGTTATGATGTCTCCATCATCAAAGCTCAGCAGGGTCTCATTATTCCCTGCTGTATGGGGGAAGATTGTTTGCACCCTGGTCTTCTTCACCACATCCATGCCACTAGACACAGACGTAGACCTAGACAATCCGTTTCCGTCTAGGCTGTCTTGATCTGTAGATTTCAAAGCAAGCGCAATTTATGTGACATTAATGAAAGATATTTCGTGGCAGTAATCAGCTATAGTAGTAATCACAGCAACATTTCAAGGAGTACCTCATCAACACAAAAGCCCCGTTTCCACCGCAGGAACTTTCCCCAAGAACTAGGGACTTTGGGCTGGTACTCGGTATGTTTCCACCGCAGGAACCAGGATGTAAATAAAGTTCCAGGTCAAAATTTGCCCCTCAGAAAGTCCCTGCTCACGAGGTAGTACTTTTTCAAAGGTCTGGATCTTTCGGGGGCGGGACTTGGGCGCTGAACATGCTGATTGGTTGAGTTCACGCAGCATTGTGATTTCAACCACCATATATTCGCATATTTTTTTTTAAATATTACTGTTATTGTGTCATGAAATGTAGTTTTAAAAGTATTTCAGGCGAGAATGTAGTTGTTTAAAACTCAAATCTGTGGTTTATTTATAAAGACAGCGCCTATTTGAAAATGTGCTTCGCCGATTTCGGAGACGTGAGCTCCACGCGATCACCTGGCACTCAGCGCTCATGTTTCCCGACAAGAGCAGCCTCAACTCGGCTAGTCCTTCTGACATTTGCCGCTGGCTCTGATGTCTCCATAGTGGTTAAACATAAGATATAATTTGTTTTGGGTAAATCTAACAGGTAATCTTTGGTGTTTATTCTGTTAATCTATTAATATGTTAAAATTAAAATGAAAAGAGGCAATATAATATTTTGTTTTATTGTAATGTAGGCTACGTCCCTGAATTACATTTCTGCGGCTATTAATATGTTTAAATGAAAACGAAAAGAAGCAGTGGTGTTTGATATCATATTTCTTCTTGTTGTAAATACAGTGAGGAAAATTGCAGTAGCCAAGGCGAGCTGACTGACGTTATCAAGTACGTTGCTGTTTGCAGAATTACCGGACTTGCGTCATCCCATCCGCGGGAGTTCACACTCCCGAGTCGAACTCGCGAACTCCGAACTACAGAGGATGCAAGGCCGAAATTTGCATACTTGGTATTGAGAAACGCATGCAGACCTACGTCACCAGACTATTTGCCTAATCTTCTCGGTACTTTAGACCGCGATGGAAACGCAGACAGCAGCAGGTCTGGGGGGAAAAAAAGTTCCTGGGACAAATTGTTCCAGGTAATTTCAGTGGAAAAGCGGCTAAAGAGTAGCACACTTGATTGTTGAGAGCAGAAGAAATTAAGTCTGATTAGATCAAAGTGTGAAGGAGCCATCAGCTTGCCTGAGTACTGCTCTGATGAGATGGGGTTTTTGGGAACGTCCTGGGAGAACATGCTGGCCAGTGGGCTTGTGTGGGCTTTGAGTGATGGGGCCGGTGGTGGAACAATAGAACCGGAATTAGTCTGAATAGAAAAAAAATGCAACAACACAGAGATCTTAAAGTCAGTGTGCCTTTTTTCAACACAAAGTGAACAAAACTAAATAATTTGATGTTCTGGTTAAACAAGTGAATTTCACGTGGCTCTCAAACAAAAAAATGTGCATTTACACATACTCATATGTTAATGGTGATACATTCTCTTCGGTGTAAGACTAACCCTGTCACTGTGCTTCAACGTAGGTGAGGACTCTGGTATGACTGACATTGGAGTCCGCAGACCCTCAATCATGGATATCACGGTGTCGGGCACCCTGGTGGCATCGGTACACTTATCTTGCCAGCTGGGCAGTTTGACGGTCAGCATTTCCTTGGTCTGTGGGGGAAAGTGCAAAAACAGTTCAAAGGAAGAAAGGCAAAACAAGGTGCACTACCATTCAAAATTTTACATTTTTCAAAATATCTTTAAAATATTTTAACATTTTAAATGTTTTATATATTAAAACAGTTATTTTCAATTGTAATATTTCCCAATATTACCATTTTTACTGTATTTCTGACCAAATAAATGCAGCCATGGTGAGCATAAGAGACTTTTCAAATACATTCAAAAATCTTATCAACTCCATACTGTTCAACAGTATTGTACATGCACCACTACTTCTGATTTCTTGTAGATCCCAAGTCTGACTGCATTAATTGGAACATCAGTGAGTTTAATATTTATTGAATAAGAAAGCTGAATATTTTCAGTGGGTCACCTTGTCGTGGAAGGCTGTTAGCTGATAGGTGAAGGCACAGTGTTTGTCCACTAGGAAGCAGAACCTCCTTTTCTCTTCCAGCAGAGCTTCCTTAAATCCTTCTGCAATAAACCTCTGTATGTCTGTCTGCCGGGATGAGATGGTCTCCATACACTAAAGATGATAATGATCATAGGATATGGCATCACATGACACTCTCATAGTTTCAGCTAAAAAGGGACAGATTTATTCTTGATTTCTTGCTTAAAATACACCTTTCTGGGACAGACCTTATTGAGAAACACAAACAAAATATCACATTTAACAAAATGAGACATATCAACATATTTAATTCCACAAAGTCATATCACCTTATGCTAATGCAGTAATTTTCTCGTGAGTAAGTCTGTTCCAGACTGAGGATTCATTGCTTTTATAGAACAGAGTTGTTACCTAGCAGACCTGTGAAAATGACACGAGAAACAGAGCTCTGTTCTTCTTCACAGGATTCCCCTCGCTATTATAGTTCTGTGCAAGTTGTCATAGTGACCGTGAACATTGCTTGTTTCCTTGGAGTTGGTTTCTGAATTTTTTTTATTTGCAGATCATGCCTGGACAAGAAAGACCTACACAAGTATTTTCTCTCAGTGGCTTTTATGACAGCAGTGCATTACGAACATATGATATGACTTCATGGCTATATGAAGTTTTTATTTGGTGGATTTTGTCAGGGACATGACCTGGCACGTCTTTGGATGATATTTCAGCCCATTTCATAAACCCAAAATATAGATAATTACATGAGGGGAAACAAGTTTTCATATATGCACTTCATTTGCCCTCCACCCAAAATGTTTTTGCGCTTTTGTGCCTTAATTTTACATAGGACAGTAAAAGGACAGACAGAAAATCGTGGAAAAAGAGAGAGGGCAACTGGACTGGGAAAGCACCTCAATCCGGTGCTCAAACTCAGTTTGCCTGAATAAAGAAACCACACCATATGTCAGAGCACTTGCCCACATGGCTATGGCTTCGATCCAAAATGATTATTTTAAGTTTGATACTGTGTTTACAAGGGCAATTTTAAGTTCATTTCAGACTCATTGTGATTTGCAAAGCAAACACAAATCACACAAAGCATTTTATTGTGAATGTTTGGTTCAGTGAAAAGAATTTACACAATTGTGGGTGATGCTTTGTTAAACTAAGCATCTAAGACTCAGTTCAATTTTCTTTCAGACATCTGTCTCAAAACAAGACTGAAAGGCAAAATATTATTACACGATTTATAATGTCAGCGTTTATGTTGTAGCTTCAATATCAAGTGACTACAAAAATGTTTGAAGTTACAAATACTCATGAATCTCATGTCCTAAAATTGTTCTCCAATAGTATTGCCTGCTACAGTTCTGCTCATAGATTAAAATATTCCTTGAAGATGTTTATTTCATAAAAATTGCATTTTGTATTTTTAGAACTGCTCTCATGACGCTACTTAACATATTTATACACTACCTTTCAAACGTTTGGGGTCAGTAAGATTTGTTTTTTTTTATGTTTTTGAAAGTATTCTCTTATGCTCTCCAAGGCTGAATTTACGTGACCAGAAATACAGTAAAAATAGTACTATTGTGAAACGCTAATTTAATCTATTTAAAATGTAAGAGGTCATTACTATAAAAACATCCTGTAAGTTTCAGAACTCAAAACTTCCTCGTTGGTCCAAAAACAGCTTTTATTGAAACCAAGCTGCCAAAATGGCTTGTTTCGGATTTTGTCTCAATATGACATAATAGTGTGATGACTCTGAGAGACTGCCCCTGCAGAATTAGATCAACATTTCACTGTGGAGTCTTTGGTAATGTTTTTGAAAGTATTCTCTTATGCTCTCCAAGGCTGAATTTACGGGACCAGAAATACAGTAAAAATAGTACTATTGTGAAATGCTAATTTAATCCATTTAAAATGTAAGAGGTCATTACTATAAAAACATCCTGTACGTTTCAGAACTCAAAACTTCCTCATTGGTCCAAAAACAGCTTTTATTGAAACCAAGCTGCCAAAATGGCTTGTTTCGGATTTTGTCTCAATATGACGTAATAGTGTGATGAAAGACTGCCCCTGCAGAATTAGATCAACATTTCACTGTGGAGTCTTTGGTAAATCAGTCACAATTTGGCGAAGGCTTTAGTTTGCAAACAGACTTTTACGGGTAAATATGGACCTGACAGTAATGCCCCAACATGCAAGTAACTGTTAATTCTAATACCTAATCTGTGATTTCTGATATGTAATGATTCATGTACAGTACAGTTGAGGCAGTTCTGTCTCAAAATCATTTATTGCTGTTTATGATTGAGTAAATCAAGCCAGTGACACTGTCTACACAGCACATCTCTTATTTACATAATGTTTGCACTGTTATTTATGATAAAAGTATTCGTGAGAGTGGAAAAACTACAGTGACATCACTGCAATTGTGCACTCAACAGACATGTCTGTCATTGGCTACAATTCTCCATCCGTGCGACTGGAGCAGATCTAAATATAACGCTATAATCAACACTTTTCACTGTAGGTTAATCTCAACAGCTGTAACTGTAAAAACAGTAAACATTTTCAAAAGTTCCACATGTAATACTTATTTCATATTCAAAGATATTACCAACTCATAGCAGTGGGCGTTTACATGAAGTTTTCAAAAAGACATGCCCCTTTAAATAGAGCTTTAAATAAGAGGGCTAAAATCAGGGTAGAATGTGGCCTTTTATTTCCAAATTACAACAGTTTTTGATGTAAAAATCAAAACATTTCTTATTATTATCAATGTTGAAAAAACGACAAGCGTTTATTTGAAATATATATTTTTTTATAACAATGTCATAAAAGTGTCTTTACTGTCACTTTAAACCAATTTATTGCATCCATTGATAAAAGTATTAATACATTTTTTTTTAATCTTACTGACCCCAGACTTTTGAACGGTAGTGTATAGATTACATACAGAAAACAAAATAATAACAATAAATAATCATTATAATTCTGAATTTAAGGAAATTACCCTGTTCAAAAATCACAAAAGGCTCCAAGATGTTACTGATGCTTGAGAAGGCAACGCATTACATGAAGAACTAAGGGTATTAAAACAATACAGAATTATCCAGGAACATACAGAATACCTATTATTATCTACAGCTTCTTCTGGAGTTGGAGAGGAATATGAGAAAAAAAAGTGATGCATCAATATCTTAAACCATATGGCATACTTACAGACTCCTCCAGCTCCAGTTGGACTTTCTTATGCACTTCTGAAATCTCCATTAACACCACTCCTGAGGAGGAAAAAAAACATTATTGCTACATTACTGATAATTATACATAGTTTTTTTTTTCTTTTCTAGTTTTGTTTCCATCTCAACTGGACAAACGGTTCAAAGTTGCCTTCAGACTCAGAGAGGTATCAAGTTGTACTTTGGACTTGAACTTTTCTGTACATGTGTTCCCATTATGACTACACCTTTACCATGCATTTCTCCTACTCTGTATGATATGATCAGTGTCATTTCATCTAGCTGGGGCTCCAATAGTGCTGCTCATAAAAAGAAACTTTTCAGTAAACAAGCAGAGGTGAGCTGTAGCATTATCACTCATCTAGCAGTTATAATAGCATCATTAGCATGGCAAGGTCAGCAGAGTGAGTCAGTAAATGCCATATTTGTACTGAGAGTGTCAGCACCTGCTCTGTGTTTTCCCAACCGCAGAGATGTTGCTAAAAAGTGCACAACCTTACAAAGGTTACAGCGCATCCCTTCCAAAGGATTATGGAAAGCCTAAATGGATTATCAGGAGTGCCTACAAATGCAGAAGATCAGTATCAGTAAAATCAACTTCTGATTGTATAAAAGCCACAAAAAAAAAAACTGTAATGCAAATGAAATTTTACTTAATGCACATTCATGTTCAAACTTGCACAAAATTCATCAATGCACATTATTCCTTTTTACTCCGCCTCATGAATCTCTTTGCCACCCTTGCTTTTTCCCTGATCCAATCAGTTTCCTATCTTACAATCTTCCACCTTGAATAATATACCGTTTCACAAATATGTCCGATTACAGAAAAAAATGGGATGTGAATGATGTTTATTTCAGATCATTTATAATAGTCAGTTGGTTACAATGAATAACTGGAAATCAAACAGTAGCCTACTGAAAAGTCATAGTTTTGTTGCATGTGTTGTGTTCTTTATGATTTCTGCATATAGGCCAGTTTGAAATGCCCTTACTTTTGAAACACAGCATTTAATGAAAGAAATATCAATGTGCAAATATGCCAGCCATGCTACACCCTGCCAGTTTGTGTGCCATATTATGTCTTGTTTGTATTATCTTTGACTTAAAATATGTGAGAGTGCCATCAGAGAGACTCTTTAATTCAGTACTACCAGTACTACTAAAATAGCACACTAAAAACATTACAAACATGACTGCAGTTTGCGCTTTTTCACCATTGACACACTAAACTGTCAGAATATTGAATGGGCTTAAGAACTGATTTATTAAAAACACCAGGTGTTCTTATACAACCCCTTTTTTGTGTAATCAACACACTTAAGCAGTTTGACGCCATGAATTCCTATGACAAGGAAGAGGGTTTCCTGGACATGACAGGCAATGCTTTTTTAATGGCAAGTTAAAATTACACAAGAGCGCCTGAGACATGATTTCTGACAATAAATCCATGCTACAACAACAACAACTGAAATTACTGTTCCCAACTATTCCCATGATGTGTCATTCAAGTACGCCTGCATTTATTTGGATAATATAAAAGTACAGCGCACTGTCAATAAAATGTGTTTTTTAAAGTATAATTAGAACGCCTCAGGTATAAATGAACAGGCTTGGGGATTTGCATGTCACTGTGATCTGTGAACTACACACTACACACTACACCAGTGGTTTTCGAACCTCTCCATGAATTACCCCCAGCACTGCACATTTTGCATGTCTCCCTATATCTGACACACCCACTTCAGGTCTTGCAGTCTCCACTAATGAGCTGATGAGTTGAATCAGGTGTGATAGATGAGGGAGTCATACAAAAAAATGCAGGGCTGGGGGTACTCCAGGACAGGTTTGAGAACCACTGCACTACACTAATGCATGAGAAATCTCCTGTACTAACGCAGACACCTCAGAGGGGAAAATTTTTTTTAAGAAAACATTTGCAGACTGAAAACATTTTGATAAGAAATATGTACAACCTCAAATGCAGGAAATGCTAGTGTTAATGCCAACATGAATTGCTGGTTGCAATCCATTTTACTTTCATAATGTGACACTTCAGATATTCAACGATTAAAAAAATAGTTACTGTTATGTTTTAGAATGGAGATAATGTAAATTTGCTAAAACAATGCCCAAATGGCTAATTGGTAATTAGTTAAAAGGTTAGTTCACCCAAAAATTTAAATTCTATCACATGGACTATTTTAGCTATGTCGTTACTACCTTTCTGGGCCATAAAACGTTTCACTTGCGTTGCTGTCTATGCAGGGTCAAACAGCTCTCTGATTTCATCAAATATATCTTAATTTTTGTTCTGAAGATGCCAGTTTTGGAACGACATGAGGGTGTATAATTAATGACAGAATTTTCATTTTTGGGTGAACTAACCCTTTACCTTTATCCAATAGCCTGCACAACCTAAGTGACATCAGCAGAAAAGGAAAGTTGTTTCATACTGGAAGAGCAAATAATAACATTTGCTTTAAGACTACAAGGGCAAGGATTTTTTTTCTATAGAACATATTTAAACAGGCTTGGATTACCCCACTAATTAAAAAACCCACTCTTAACCCAGCTCTTTTAGAGAACTACAGACCGGTATCCCTTCTTCCTGTCATTGCAAAAACAATGAGTGTGTTTAACCAAGTCTCTGACTCTGACCAGTCTAGTTTCAGAAGTGGACATTCAATCGAGACCTTCAATTGAAGCCTTAAGACTGGCAAGAGCGGTTTCCAAATCTTCAATACTTATCTTGCTGGATCTGTCCACTGCTTTTGACATGGTTAACCACCAGATCCTCCTGTCAACCCTCATGGCAAAGGGCATCTCAGGAACTGCACTCCAGTAAATCGAGTCTTACCTCTCAGATAGGACCTTAAAGGTATCTTGGAGGGGTGAGGTGTCCAAGTCGCAACATCTATCTACTGGGGTGCCTCAGGGCTCAGTTCTTGGACCACATCTCTTCTCTGTCTACATGGCATCACTAGGTTCTGTCATTCAGAAACATGGCTTTTCATATCACTGCTACGCTGATGACACTCAACTCCATCTCTCATTCCATCCTGATCCTGATCTCAGCATGTCTAACAGACATTTCTTGCTGAATGAATGAGCAACACCTTCACCTAAACCTGGCCAAGATAGAACTGCTTGTGGTTTCAACAAACCCATCACTTCATCACAATTTCACCATCCAGCTATACACATCAACCATAACTCCTTCAAAGACAGCCAGAAACTTTGGAGTTGTGATTGATGATCAGCTGAATTTCTCAGACCACACTGCTAAAACTGCCCGATCCTGCAGCAAATCTATCAAACCTCTACAACTAATCTAGAATGCGGCTGCAAGATTAGTCTTTAACAAGCCGACAAGAACTCATGTCACACCTCTGTTCATCAACTTGCACTGGCTACCAATAGCTGCTTGCATAAAATTCAAGGCATTGATGTTTGCCTACAAAACCACCACTGGTTCTGCACCCCTTTACCTAAATTCACTACTTCAGAATTATGTGCCCTATAGAAGCTTGCGTTCTGCAAGTGAACGGCACATTTCATCTCAAAGAGGCACAAAATCACTTTTACAGACTTTTACCTTAAATGTTCCCTCCTGGTGGAATGACCTGCCCAACTCAATCCAAGCAGCTGAGTCTTCAAGAAACTGGTAAAAACATCTCTTCCATCTTTATTTGACCCTCTAACTCTAGCATTATCTATTCTAATTCTAAGAAAAAAAACATCTAACACTTGCACTCTCTATTCTATTTCTATTCTTACTACTTGTCTTCTTTAAAAAGAGAGCCTGTGACACTACCATTCTCTATTCTATCTTTTCTTTTTATTTATTATATAAAATGACCCAATAACATTAGCATTCTTTATTTTTTTGACTTGTTTTATTTTTATTTTTAAAAAGACCCTCTAACACTAGCATTGCCTATTCTATCTACTTGTTTTTCTTTTTATTTATTTATTTATTTTTAAACATTGCTACGTGTACTGCATTAGGCTAACCGATACTTGTCACAGCACTTACATATTATTGCCCTTTTGTTTAGATTGCTTCTATTGTCCTCATTTGTAAGTCACTTTGGATAAAAGCGTCTGCTAAATGACTAAATGTAATATAAATGTAATAATATTTTGCTATATATTGCTGTTTGTGTATCATGAGATAATGTCTGTCACAAGCAATTCCACCATAAGATGTCAAACACTTGACATTAAAGGCACAATATGTAATTTTCGCCGCTAGAGGGCACGTATTCAAAATAAACAAAGCGACAAAGGCGTAGTTTGATGACGCCATGACTGAGTGTGGAATCGTGGGAGTTGACGTCTTCATCCCCAGAGCCGATGCAATCCGACGGGACTCGGGCAGAAATCATGTTCATGGATGAGCTAATAATTTACGTAGTAGAATCGAAACGAGGCCGCTGAACGAGTGTGACACACGGCTCGAAAGCAGCGGAGCTTTTATTATGCCACAGTCGACCGCTTCCACTCCTTCCGGTCGTGCGTATGGGGGGGAAAGCAGCGCTGTTTTATCATACTAGATACATTTGAAAGTTTTGTTATAATGCTACTCTGTGCGGTCGTCACCGGTCTATTAAAACGCACAACATATTAAAGTGTCTTTGGTGTTTCCATGTTTTCTACGTTGGAAATCGAGGGGTTATGACGTCATTGGCAGGCGACACAATGACACTATAGACACGGTCGGTCACTAGTTAAAATTGCTTATTTCTCTGGATTTAAACATTCTTCAAAACATTTGGGATAATGTAAGTACATAAGTCAGCAAAATTTATAACAATGTTCTAGTGGTTTTGGGATATTTTAATTAAAAAAAATCTTACATATTGTGCCTTTAAGGAACTTGTTTTGTTCAAATAAAAAACGTACACCTACATTTGAATGTTTGTGGTCTTAACTTTAGAAGAGCGTGTAAGCAAAGGAAAAAGGGTGGTGACTAAACTGAGCACTTCTTACATTCCAGTCATACATCTCCAACTGAATGTTTAAATTCACTTTAAGAACTCATTCATTATCTAGTACCATTTGATGAGATATGTGGCCCAGACATGCAGTCTGCAGTTCATATTAATTACTATTAAGTTCAAATTGTGTTAACCAACGTTTATTTGTAACTCTCCAGGAGCTTTCTTGCAGACGTGTTGATGTTGTCACAATTCTCATGTAATCAAGTCCTCATGTCAATCAAGTGTCACAAGCAATCATAAGCTATGTATTAAGCTTATAGATAAGCATAAGCTTATATATAGAACAGGTTGTCATAACACTCTTAGATATCATTATGAAAATTTACAGATAAGGTTGCACCAGCAATCACTACAGAATTAGAAAGGTACAGCATAAAATGATAATATGATGCATGGTCTTAAGTTATGACTGAACTATATTGTTGTGAATATCGATGACAAGCACTCTGAGTTTGCATGTTCCACTGGAACAGTTGAGTTACGATGCTTTTCTGAAGGGGATCTGAGGTGGAAAGGTTTGTCAACAAAGTCACTGTTTACTTGGTGTGTTTATTGGTGGTCTGTGCAAAACGTGAGAGAATCCACACTGTCTGGTGGTCATTTGAGCTGTCTGAAAGGGATTCCAGGAGGAACGGGAAACGATAAAGCAAGTGAAGCTCAGTAAATCACAAAAGATTTCATCAGGAAACATGGTGTTAGCTTTCACTGTTATGCTGATGACACTCAGCTCTATATTTCTTTGTGGCCCGACAAAACATACCAATTCGCAAAACTAACGGAATGCATAGCCGATATAAAAAAAATAGATGACTAGTAATTTCCTACTGCTAAATTCTGAAAAAACAGGTGTTAATTATCAGACAAAAACCTCTGCATGTAATAATCTAGAACAATGTCTAACACTTGATGGCTGTGCTGTCAATTCTTCAGCATCAGTTAGTAACCTAAGTGTGCTATTTGATACCAACCTTTCCTTTGAAAGTCATGTTTCTAGCATTTGTAAAACCGCATTTTTCCATCTTAAAAATATATCTAAATTATGACCCATGCTCTCAATGTCTAATGCAGAAACAATAATTAATGCATTCATGATTTCAAGGTTAGATTATTGTAATGATTTATTGGGTGGTTGTTCTGCATGCTTAATAAACAAACTCCAGCTGGTCCAAAATGCAGCAGCTAGAGTTCTTACTAAAACCAGGAAGTATGACCATATTAGCCCGTTTCTGTCAACTCTGCACTGGCTCCCTATTAAACATTGTATACATTTTAATATCGAATTACTTAAAAAGCCATGAATGGTTTAGCTCCTCAGTACTTGAGCGAGCTCTTATCGCATTATAGTCCTTCACATCTGCTGCAATCTCAAAACTCTGGCCATTTAAGAATACCTAGAATATCAAAATCAACTGCGAGTGGCAGATCCTTTTCCTATTTAACACCCAAACCCTAGAACAATCTACCTAATGTTGTACGGGAGGCAAACACACTCTGTCAGTTAAAATCTAGATTAAAGACCCATCTCTTTAACCTGGCATACACATAACACACAATAATTTTTCTATCATTCAAATCTGTTAAAGATTTGTTAGGCTGCATTAATTAGGTCAACGAGAACCAGGAACACTTCCCATAACACCCAATGTTTTTGTTACATCGTGAGAAGAATGACATCTACGCTAATATTAGTCGGTTTTATTCTTATTCCGAGGTCACCGTAGCCACCCAGATCCAGTCCGTAACCAGTCCAGATGGTGGATCAGCACCAAGAGATGACCTCTACATCCCTGAATGCCAGCGGAGACCATGTCAATTAGACAAGCCCTAGAGACAGATCCCCAGCGAAGACCACGTCGGCCATCGTCACAAGACCACGAGAACCAAATGAGTCCTTTGAATTAAATCACAACATGCTGGTTTCGTCTGGCCAGAGGAGAACTGGGCCCCCGACTGAGCCTGGTTTCTCCCAAGGTTTTTTTTCTACATTTGTCTTATTAATCTTTGTAATTTGCACAAAAAATGTATAATTATTCTTTGCCAGATCTGTGGTGGCAAGTATGAAAAGTTGCCATGAAACAGATGTCAGTTTATAAATCACAGTAAAGCTCTGTCATTATTTCCAGACGATATGAATCAAACTGATGCTGAGTCACAAAAATTCAACAAGAACCAAACCTGTCTGGGGCTTAAAGCAGATGCAAATGTGGATCTCTCTTTGAGAAAATGAGGAAATAACTGGCACAGGATATTCCGAGACATGTTGAGCGCAATGAATCATCTGCTAGGAAATGTTAAGCCACACTCTGAACAGAGCACATCTATATCAGCGAAGGCCATATTAGGACCTCTGGGCGACGGTTTAGAGAGTAATACTCACCCATCTCCCTAGAAACGGGCGATATGGCAGCATTTTCCCCAATCTTTGCGAGTGCATCGAAATATGCCTTTCCAGCAAAGGTCATTGCTGTAAGAGAGTAAATAACTCATATTGATTAACAGGAACTGGAAGCCAAACTACCTGTATTCCAGCAATTTTGAGAGAAATATTGCTTTTTTTTAATCAGAGTTTTAGGGTTTATTTGAGCTGTTTTGTGCAAAAATTTAGGATTATGTATATTTATTTTTTTGAAAATGAACTGATGTGTTTACCCGTCACTGCTTTGTCGTAGCTCTTCCCCAGGTTAACCAGATTCCGCAGACTTGGGTTAAACTGCTCCATCACATTCTGGAAGAGCAGGAAAGAAAGCTCATATTTCGAAGTTACAGGGAAAGCAGCTTACTGCCGCTGAATGAAACTGAAGAAACTTCAAAACTGACTCAAAATAATGTGCCCAAAAGATATTCTGTAAAATGCTTCAGGTTTTTTTTAATCAATACAATCAAGCCAGTGGTGTCCAATGTTGTTTTGGACCCCACCGGCTTTCTTTATACTGACAACACTTGAAACATTCTTCAAAATATCCTACCAGGTTTGGAAACCTGATGATGAGTAAATGATGATATTATTTACATTTTCAGGTGAACTGTCCCTGTTTCTACACTTTGAAAGGGCAACTTCTCCCCCATTCTAGGTAAATCCCATGTTTTTGTCCATGCAATAAAATACAACAGAGATTTCTAAAAATATCTCTACAGTAGCTAAAAATACATTTGTTTAATCATTGACTTGTAATTGTAATTATATTGCCTATGAGATCAAAGTCCTGCTTAAGTAAAGGGCCCTCTGGATCTCTAGTGACCTTACCCTTCTGTAATAAAATTCTGGGCAGTTCCTCTGCTAATTCCCAAGAACACACCCTTGGCAAAACAATGAACAGTCAGGTATGCAATAACAGAAACAGTCCAGCACAAACTGGTTTCTGAACTCAACCCAGAAACCCAACTGAAGCACTTTAAAATACACTCATACCTCTATTGCACAACTTATGCGCACCTTAATGACAAAACGTACGAGTGGCATAAAATAACACTTCGTTATTTAACAAACCAACACAGCTTTCACGGGGCTGTACGTACTGGGCATAACAACAGGTGGTCAATGCCAAATAACATACATATACATGTGGTTGTCTTAATAACAGCTAATCACTGACCAATAAGATAAACGCAGTTTAAACCGACGCTACCTTATATGTGCTCTCGGTGAGTTTGTTCACGTCCTCCGGGGTTCGAGACATTTTTGCAGGTATTCTCCAAAACGTCCTGGGTGACAATGTGTTTGTTTCAACTTCCCCCGTTCAAATCGTGGCTGTCTTTTCGTCCCACCTGTTAACGTGTTGGAAGCGACAGAGAACAGAGAACAACACGACACTGCACTGATGCACTAGAGGAGGATGAAACCTTTCCGCGCGACCTCATGCCACACGTGGAAAGGTGGGATCCGTGACGTCAGAGCTTTCTACGGTCAAACAGAAATGAAATCATTTTTATTTCATCGTTTTTCCCCTGCACTGTTCTTTTTGGTTACTGACTGTGGGTATGTTTCTAAAGTTTATATATACAGTAAAGGCTATATATACAGTATATATTTACTGATTCCAAATTACGTTCGAAAAATTGTAGTTAGTACCGTAATCGATTACATTACACAATATAATATGACTACTTTTAGGTTACTTTTAGATTACTTTTGACCTATCTCGTATATCACATTGATTTAAATAGGAAATTAATCAGTTATATATTCCATTCATTGTTATTAACTAAATGAAGTGCATTAAACATTACATTACGTCAAGGTTTCCCAATCTGGGGTTTGTGAAGGAACTACAGGG